TGAAAACAACAAAATCATATCAGGTTTACCAGACTTCCCAAGATACATGGTCCCATATGCCTTCAGGAGATCTCTATAGAAATGATTTTGATGACTTGCCACCTTGAAAAGAGCTCTTCTGGGACTAAACTGACATCCTTAAGTGACAAGAATGAGATGTAGTGTTCAGTCACATTAAAAAACACATCATCCCATATAAAGGAAGCTTTGGATATAGGGACATCAAACTGGTCTTAAGTGTAATGAAAAGCTTCTTGTGCCACAAATATCAGTGTAGTGATATCTGCCAGTAAGAAAGTATAAATCAGCATAACCATCGAATGCAGCAAGAAGAATATTGAGCCAGGAAAGAAACCATTTAAAAGAAAAATGAATTACTCATTCACTTTCTAGTGGATACAGAAAAAACTGCAGAAGAGTCAGAGGATATCATGGCAGTGTAATACGTTGATATGTTAAACTTGTGGAAAAGCCTTCAATTCTGTTTTAACATATGAGAAGGAGGGGTGACTGACTTCATGACTAGCATTAAGAAAATATCACATGTTGATAAACTCTTTCTGCCTTGATGATTTTATACACACAGGAGATAAAAAATGAGGCACATGCTTAGATATATTGGCAATGAGATGGGACTGTGGCATTGTCACAGGGGTACACAAATACTGAGAGTGGCTGATAGAGGAATGGTCCCCATCGGTTGTGACCTCAGGTAAGACCAGGAGGCCTGGGTTTGGCAAACCCTGGGCAATTGGAATGAAGGGCTCCTAAGATTCCATGACACGCCCAGATTCTAATTCTGTTATTGCAACAGCAGGCCGTTACCTGGGACTCTGGCCACTATCTCCCACACTCTTGTCAGAGTCTGAGCTACAGGCTGCACCTTCAGCTCCCAGCTGAAGCATTGCGAACCTTGTTTTTGCGGTTAAGGACCCTAAAGTGCTGTGAGGATCAAATTTTTCTCAACAGTAAGTTAAGAATTTGAGTTATTGACATCCCCCAGTCCTGATTAAACCTATTTGATTTCCAGTTTTTAACCCATCATGTGTTTGGATTTCTTCTCCCCAGTCCCTGGCTGTACCTGTGGTGTCTCAAATGTCAGCATGGCGACATCTGGCAGGACTTGTTCCACAAAAACCACAGAGGTGAACTTTCCACATACCATCGACAATTCCTACTGCCAGCAGGAAGAGACCAAACCGAATTTCGGAGCCAGCAAAAATAGACTTCTTCTGAGCCAGGTGGCCTACTTCCAGAACTATCAGCTGAAGACATACAGTAAGTTCTATAGGTTCACCACCATGAAACTGATGAATGATGTCCTGTCTTATCTCAAGAAACTAACTGTTGCCTTCATCAAAATTAATTTTATTTTTCCCATACTTGTAGAAAATAGAAATGGGTACTTTAACATTTAGTTAAAGATGGAAGACAGAGGACAAAGTATTTAGCAACTTTTTCACGTCTGCAGTAAGGTGACTGTGGGA